TTATGGGGTTTTTTTTCTTTTCTCTGTTCGGTATATGGGTTTGAGTCTAAAATAAAAATTCAAAGAAAGCAAGGATGATCAGAAGGAAATGTAACTAGAGCAATTTTGTTAACTACTTTCTCCAACTATTTGTATATTTACATATACACATATGTATATAGAAATATGTACACATGTAGATGTGTATAAATATGCATATTTGAATATATACACATATGTGTATTTTTTAAAAACTATATTATAGAACATCTTACTTCAATATATAATCTTTTCCCCTGTTCTTTGTCCTAAAAAAGTTTATGTTGATGATTGGAATATAAAATAAAATCCTTAAAAGACAAAAATGAAGATCTTTTAAAGTATAAAACATAAATGTGCTAACACTATTATATTTCTCAGTCACCTCATATATGGAAAACAGCTCCTTGTCAAAGCTTTCCATGTGCTTCAAGACAATTGTCTTCCCACCCTCACAATGGCTTCTGTAAGCTAAAGTTAATTCCATAAATATTTCCTTAGAAAATCCATTTTATCCCTCATGTTTTTTTTTTTAAAAGATGATCAAATAAGGATTCGGTGAGTCTGACACATGAAGACTAAATTACATTAAATCAAATAAGGTCTTGACAGAGGGGCGGTATCTGTCTTCCAACAACTGCTTCCCTTTTGGGAATCTAAGGTCCAGGAAATACTCAGACATCACTCCCTAAGTCACTTCTCTGAGGACCATGCATCCAGAATGCATCATTCAGTGTTTAATTAGTAAATGGGGACTCATGGTCCCTGAAGTGTCCTCAGCATAAGTAATTCCTTTTCCTAAACCTTGACTCTCCCTCCCTGCTGGGAGCCCTAGCTAACTTCATTTTCTTATTGCACTCACTCATCAAAAGTGGCTGAATCTGATTGAAGCCTTATCATCCTCCCTCAAAGATGGTCCTACACACTTTCTCCAGCAATCATTTAACAAACGCCAATGCATACACCAAGATTCCCACATTTACCTATGGGATACCAGTTCCTCCTTACCCACTGATAGAGTAGGCTGTGAGTCAGTGTCTTCAGGTCCTCTATTGAAAGCATCCAAGAGTTACAGTGGAAGATCCAGAGGAGTCTGCTAACTCATGGCCATCCAGGAAGAAGATGGTTCCTAACCCTGACAAAAGGGATGTTACAGAAGTTTCCAGGTGGGTCATAGGAAAGAAAGGTTTGAAATGGGTGGGGGGAAATCTGGATAGAGACTGTTGATTTTAGGTGGAAAATATTTTCATTTCAACAATCTCCTCTCCCTACAATCAGTTCTCAAATTCTATTGATCCTGGCCCCCAAAGGCCCCCAATTCTTTCCCTTGTCTACACCCACATCACTGTTACTTTTATTCAGAGCTCATCACCTCTCTCCTCTGTACTATTGCAATAATCTCCTAATTAGTTTAAATGGATCCAATCTTCCCTTCTCCAAACTGTATCCAAAATGCTACCAAACTGATATTATGAACGCATCCTAGTGGCCATGTCACCCCTCCTACCAACCAAAGCTACCCCCCCCCGAGAGAGAGAGAGAGAGAGAAAATTTTCAGTGTCTCACCATTCCATGTGGCATAACAAACAAATGTCTCAGACCAGCCTTTCCTAACCAGTCTGCAGCTTTCTTTCCCAGCCTTGCTTCATATGACTCCCTTTCATTTACTCTCTGTTGAATTCAAATGGTCCTGATATTTATTCTCATTACATGATGGGCCATCTCCTGCTTCTATCAATCTTTTGTGCATGGAGCCCATCAGCTCCACATGCCTTCCTGCCTCAGAGAATCTCTAATTTACTTCCAAGCCCGTAAAAGGTACCTTTTTCCACAACAAGATGCTTTCCAGTTCCCCCACTTCAGAGCCTTACAACTGATTAAATACATGAAGTGATAAGCCACCAAGTTAAGGAGACTAGAGGCAGTCTATGTCCTTGGAACAGGCCAAAAGTGACAATATCAGGAAGGCATCAAATCCATTTCTTAGCAGGCTGACCTTACCAACTAAGCCTACTGGACACAAAAAGGCTTAATTTGATGAAAAAGAGTAGACATAGTGACATATAAAGCCCCCAGTAATGGAGAAGTACAATCACTTATTGGCTGTGACTGTGTGCTGCTCACAGATAGAGAACCCAGTGAGGCACTAGTGTTGCATAGTAAAAATGTAGGCATGTCAAAATGTATGGGGAAAGAGAATAAGCATTTGTATAGTCCCTACTATATGCCAGGCACTATGCTAGATGCTTTAAAAATAACATCTTGTTTTATTCTTACCTGTGAGGTAGTTGCTATTATTACCCCCATTTTACAATTAAGGAAACTGAGGCAGACTCCAGTGGCAGAGGCAGCCACATGTAGAAAGGTCTAAAATTTTAGCCTCTCTAAGGCTGCAGAGTCTGAATGTAGTGTGCCTTTTACTCTCTATACTATTTAATAAACTTGTCTTCATCTAGTATTTGAGAGTAAACTCTGTTTAGGTCACAAGGAGATGGGAAAAAGAGAAGAATTCAATGTGATACAGATATACTAGAGCCATTTTGGTAAATTACGACTTTATGCTGTCAACTTTCATGCCTATCTTCAGAAATCAAGAGGGAGGCATTTAAAGAAGGCTGACAGCCAGGGAACTCATGCAAGTCACATACAAGCCTGTGTCAATGGACTTGGGTTGGTATTTTAGGGCTTGTTGTTTTCTTTAGAGATTATCATCTGAAGAGCTATTACACCCGGTGTGATCAGACACAATGCCTTACTCAGAGAAGACACTGTGAGTGATGATTCCAGGGTATAATCAAGCCTTTTCTTCCCTTTACTGATTTGTTATTCTTTTCTTGTGCCACTGTAGATCCCAAGTTTCTGTAAAGAAATATGGAAAGTCTGTTAATTTTAAAGAGAAAGAGAGGGAGGACTGGAGGAAGAAAAAAGCAGAGATAGACACAGAGTAAGGATGGATAATGATAGCTATATGATAGGTAGGTAGAGATATTAATAACAGTAATAATAATTTTATTATTATAATAGCAAAAGTACCAGCAGTCAGAGCAATAATCACAGTTGTTATATGTCACTGTATGCTCCTGGAATATGTGCTCTAATTACAAACTACTGGTCTCAGTGTGGGTAATTCTTGTAGTACCAGTCTCTCTGTGGTAACTCAGGCATGCAGTCACATTGTTATAATGACAGCAGGTCAAAAACAAAATGAGCTGGCTTAACAGCAAGTCAATAGGATGAATAGTTTAGGGAACTGATCAGCTGTTTGAGTCAACTCGTGGTGAAGATGATGAGGAGGAAAATTCAATTCTTCCACAAAGATAGAGCAAACAATTCTTCACAAGATTCCAAGCCTACAACGTGACACTTCACACATAAGTTAGAATAAGTACTCACAGATTGCCAGTATAAAGTAACATAAAATGTACTTGCCTCCTTTTTCCATCCCTAGAAAAATCATTAAGTAGGGTTCTGAATTTCAAATATAGTCATATAGTCATATATACATACACACACACACATACATATGTGCGTGTGTACGCACGTGTGTGTGTATGTATATATGTATATATATATATATGTATATATGTATATATATATATATATATATATATATGTAGTCCTAACTCCAAATATAGCATTCTTCCCACTTCTCTTATCTCAGGAAAATCTCTGTTCCCACTGTCTTTTAATTTTTTTAACTGTCTCTGTTTTTTCAGTCAACACAAATCTGTCTTCTCATCTTCCCACCCTAACCCTTCCCCATCGCCACTATCAAGAACTAAAGAAAGACAAACCCTGTTACAGATGCATATAGTTAATCAAAACACATTTCCACAATAGCCGTGTCCAAATATTAGTCTCACCCTGCACTCTGAAGTCCTTCACGTCACTATCAGGAGAGGGGTAGTGCATTTCATCATTAGTCTTGTGGCATTGTAGCTGGCCATTAAGTTGATAAGAATGCCTAATTCTATGCTGAAGATAACCACCTGAGGGGGAGGGAGATGGACGTGCAATTGTCATATCAAAGGAAGCAACATTACTGTAGCAGCATCCATCTTGTTTAAGCCTTCCATTGTTGGAGCTTGAGGTTTTATGATGTACTTTATGCTCATAACTGATGTGGTTGGAGAATTAGTACTGAATTTATAGCATCAGCAGAACAGAAAATGTGATGTATTTTATGCATATCAATAAAGGAATGACCTGTTACTGTTCTACTGAGATGGAAATTGGAAGTCAAACACCCCTTGTATTCCAAAATAAGGTCTTGAACTTTCTGTAATTTTTATTAAATTTTGTTAGGAGGCTTGGAGCTCTTAGTTAAGCTGTCTTCCAATGCCCTGTTTAATACAGCACTGAATAACTGATGCAAGTTGTTAATGGATGACTGGTCAACTAATAGCTCTTCTAGTAATTGATTTATTTTTCTTTAATAAAGTTGCATAAACCAAGAACAAAAAAGAGCAATAGCTATGCTTATGTTTAGGCTGATAGCACATTCATTACATCTAATATTAAAAACAACCTGAAACTGTATGCTGATTAAAAAAAGAAATGATAGTAGTTTCATTAAACACAGAAACTTGTCTAGGCGGCACTCTGAATATAGTGCCAGATCTGGAGTCAAGAAGACCTGAGTTCAGATTCAGTCTCAGATACTTACTCTCTTATGTGACCCTGGACAGGTCACTTTACCTCTGCCTGCTTCAGTTTCCCCATCTGTAAAATGAATATAATAACAGCATCTACCTCCCACAGTTGTTGTGAGGATCAAACAAGATAACAGTTGTTAAAGTGTCACAAAGGCGTTGGCTGTCATTGTCATTGTCACTACTACATGCACAAAAAGAAACAACTAAAAAGTAAAAATGGGCATTCGATCCACTGTTTCCTCTATGGGAAGTCAAATGACTGATTTGGCTTTTTTATTTTCCCAACACGATTGAATATTCAGAATCATGGAATTTTAGGGATGGAAATCATGATGGAAATCATGTAGTCTAACCTATCTTTGATGCAAATGAGGGCTCTGAGGCCCAAAGAGACAAATGTCTTGCCTGAGGTCATACAGACCATTTGTGACAGAGTTGTGATTCAAAGCCAGGTGCCCTGACTTCCAAGTAGTTCTCACTACAGTACACCAAACTGGTACTTATTTGGGAATCTTATCTGCAAGGTCTCGGGTTGCCTTCTTCCTCTATTAGGATCTGGGATCCATTAGGAGGCCACTGTTTCATTTTCTTTTACTTCGCTCAAAAAGCTCTGCAGTCCTTTCTCAGTGAGCCACTTGACAGCTAAAGACTGGACCAGAGGAATCTGTATTTGACCATGGTTACTCCATTTCAGCTTTCTTCCAGCCATGTGCTAACCCCTAATCCTGCTTTAGCATCCCAACAGGAGCTCAGTGCTGAAAGTCAATGAAGCAAAACAGCAGCTCTCCAGGGGTCTTCGTTCTATTGGGCTTCTCTGACAAGCCCCAGTTAGAGATTGTTCTCTTCGTGGTTATCTTGATCTTCTATATCTTGAACCTGGTGGGGAACACAATCATCATATTAGCGTCCTGCCGGGACCCCAAACTGCACACCCCAATGTACTTCTTCCTTACCAACCTGTCACTCCTAGACCTCTGCTTCACCACCAGTGTAGCTCCACAATTGTTGGTCACCATGAGAAGAAAAGACAAGACCATGAGCTACAGTGGGTGTATAGCTCAACTCTATGTGGCCATGGAGCTGGGATCCACTGAGTGCATTCTCTTGACCGTCATGGCCTATGACCGCTATGCAGCAGTGTGCCGCCCCCTCCACTATGCAGTCATCATGCATCGTCGACTCTGCCTGTCTCTGGCTGCCACAGCATGGCTCAGTGGCCTCGCCACCTCTCTGATCCAGTGCTCTCTCACTATACAGCTCCCCCTGTGTGGTCACAACCACCTTGACCACATCTTCTGTGAGGTGCCAGTGTTGATCAAGCTGGCCTGTGTAGATACCACCTTTAATGAGGCCCAACTCTTTGTAGCCAGTGTGGTCTTCCTTGTGGTGCCTGTCTCTCTCATTCTGATCTCCTATGGCTACATCACCCAGGCCATATTGAGGATCAAATCTGCCTCAGGACGTCGTAGAGCATTTGGAACCTGTTCTTCTCACCTGGTGGTTGTAATCATCTTCTATGGGACCATCATCTTCATGTATCTCCAGCCAGTCAAAAGTAGGTCCAAAGACCAGGGGAAGTTTGTCTCCCTCTTCTACACGATAGTCACCCCTCTGTTAAATCCTCTCATCTATACCCTGAGGAACAAGGATGTGAAAGGAGCACTAATAAAGCTGATATTGGGGAAAGCTAGAGGTTAACAAAAGGCACAAGTAGTAGGCATGGACTAAGGGGGATGTTACTGCTGCAGCTGATTTGGAAGCACCCAGGAATCATTCTCATTTCTTCCTCACTCTGTCTCTACATGTCTCTTGATCTCTGTCTCTCTCCATCTCTTTTTCTTGCTCTGTCTCTCCCTCTCAAATATGTACCTGAATTTTATGTCATGTGGATGTAGAGGTTAACGAAGGGTATGTGGCAGTAGAGAGGGCACAGATCTTGCCTGTAACACACACTTATTGTGTGACCAGGGACAAGTCACTCAATCTCTTAATGCTCTGGGCAACTGTCTTCAGACACAAGGTGCAAAGAAGCTGATGACCCGCACTGGCTCAAGGGGGAGAGGGTTCTCTCATCTAGAACATCCCCGTATCAATGAAGTGAAGAACTCAGCTCCTGTCCCTGTACAGCAATAACTACCATTATTCAGAACGTTGAGGTAGATAAAGTGCACCTATGCACATGCACACATATATACGAAAGGAAGACAATTCAAACCCTGCCTCAGACACTAGACGTACCTCTCACATAACGTATGTGTGTATATAAACATGTATATGTGTATGTGTGCAGGTGTGCATGTATGTGTACACATGTGCTGGTGTGTACATACATACATATTCGTGCATACACACATATGAATGTGTGCGTACATGTGCGCACGCGCATGTGCGTGTATGAAAATCTCATGTGAACCTGCCAACAAACTTACAAGGTAGGTGCTGTTATTATCATCGTTTTACAAATGTGAACACTGAGAGCAAGAAAACTGAAGCAACTTGCCCAGAGTTACAGCTGGTTAAGTGTCTGAGACAGGGTATGAAGGAAAGGCTTCCTGAGTCCAGGGGCTTTTAAATGGAAGTTAAAACTGTAAACATGCAACAGGTTTAGGAAGTAGACCCCCGTGTATGGCTTAGGAGGCCTGTTTTCTCTTCAACTCCCAGTAGCTCAATTCTTCTCATCCTAAGTTCTAACATAATCAAAGGTTATTTTCTGATATTTCTATGTGAATTAATAAAACTAAACAATCTTTCTTATTAATCAATCAATTGATTGTCATCTTTCACCTCATTTTATAAATGAACTGGAGAACCCTGTTTTGCCCCGAAGCTTTCATATGTAATATATGCCCCTGTCTCAGGTGCTTAAACATCAGCACTATTGCTATACAATTTATCACTAGTGTATCAAACAACACAAAGACATATTTAAATATCTGAGCTATGTATCAGCTATGAGAAGGCAGATACAACTTTGTGGTTTATAAAGTCAGTCACCTCCAGCACTACAGACGCTGATTCTTCCACAGTCACTAGGAACACATTCCTTTCAGTTACAAACTTCAGTCCATTGAGAACTTTCTTCAGAATTTCTTCTCCACAAAATAAGTTAGACTCATTTTTCTCCAAGTGACTCTTCAGCCAGTCTCCAAGATGGCTGTTAACTAGTCATCTCTCAGGGGAAAAAAATGTCTTAGTCCTTCGTCTCTGTGTCTCTGAAACTCACTCAATGATAATTAGATTGTGTTCTTAATGCTTAGTATGTATAAAATTACATTACCTAACATAATTATCAATTATATTATCAATTATTATTTTATAAATTGTACGTTATATTAATTATGTAATTATTAATTATATAATGTAACCTTAAAAGGACAGATAGAAAAATGAGTTAATAATAATGCAACAAAAGACAAAAAAGCCACGTTGCCATATGAAAAATATTTTATATATAAATGTATAAATTGTACACGTAACTTTTATATTGCATAATAATTTTCTTATCTTTTCTTGTGTTCTTACCAATATACTTGTGGGGGCTGGAATAAGGGCCCATAATTCTTGGGTTCTGAGATCTAAAGTAAGAAGTTAATCATAAAGCAATGGAGTCCACCTTGGTCACTGATTGAAAGAAAATGAGGCCCAAATAGGTTAAGTGTAGCTAGGGGGTGCACAGGGTGCTGGGCGTGATATCCAGAAGGCCTGAGTTCAAACCCTACCTCAGCCTAACTAGTTGTGTGACCCTGAACAAGTCTTCTAACCTCTGCCTTCCTCAGTTTCCTCCACTATAAAATGGGGATAATAATACCATCTACTTCCCATAGTTGTTGTGAGGATTGAATGAGATGATAATTATAAAGTACTTAGAACAGAGTCTGGTACACAGTAGGTGCTATATAAATGCCCATTCCCTTCTCTACATGCACACACACATATATATATCACACACATAACACTCACACCGAATATAATGAGGGGCAGTAGGAACAGAGCGTATGGACAGTCAGATACTGAGTCAAAAATTTCTCATTACCAATTCCACCTCTGACATTAATGACACTGTGATGCTGGACAAATAATTGATCCTTTCAGTGCTCCCCCCGTGAACTCTGTAAGACTAAATGTTACAGAACAGTTGCCCACCTGCTTTAGTAGAAGGATTTTCCTTCCTAGTAGCTTCTGATATTGATGAAACTACAGGTCTAGAACAAAAACAACAACAGAGACAGACATGCAGATATAGAGAAAAAGACAATGAGACAGAAAGGAGGAAGCAAGAATAATTCCTGTGGGATACAAAGAATATATCTTCATGTAGACAAGGTGCAGGGAGGGAGGGACAGAGACAGACAGAGAGAGAGAAAAGGGAGATAGAGAGGAGGAAGGAAGGGAGGGAGGAAGGGAGGGAGGGAGAAAAAGAGAGGGGAGAGAGAGAGAGAGAGAGAGAGAGAGAGAGAGAGAGAGAGAGAGAGAGAGAGAGAGAGAGAGAGAACCTACAAAGGCTCTGTAACACAAAGCGACTGGGGAGGTACCTTATTTTTTTTCCAATCCATATCTTTCTTTTTGATTCTAGGTGCATTGGTTTTATTTCTGTAAAATTATGTTTAAAGCTGTATAACTGAAATTTTCTGTTCCAACTTTTTTAGTCTTTCTCTCATTGACTGATTATGAATTTCCCTTCATAATAGTATGGCCTAGTCTTTCTCCAAAATTTTCTCTCTGCCCTAGTTGTACCTCCCCTTCTCCTACTTGACACTCCCTCACTTTTCTGGAATCTGTGGGCATAAAAACATCTGCTTTCCACAAAACCTTGCTGAATGGCTCATCCCTCCCTGTGACATTAGAGATGAGAAATAATTCATAAGCACTTAAACAAAACCATAGGGGCAGCTAGGTTGCACTGTGGATAGAGCACCAGCCCTGGAGTTAGGAGGACCTGAGTTCAAATCCAGCCTCAGACGCATGATACTCAATAGTTGTGTAACCCTGGACAAGTCACTTAACCCCAGTCGAGAAAAGAGAAGAGAGAGAGAGAGAGAGAGAGAGAGAAGAGAGAGAGAGAGAGAGAGAGAGAAAGAAAGAAAGAAAGAAAGAAAGAAAGAAAGAAAGAAAGAAAGAAAGAAAGAAAGAAAGAGAAAGAGGAAGGAAGGAAGGAAGGAAGGAAAGGAAGGAAGGAAGGAAGGAAGGAAGGAAGGAAGGAAGGAAGGAAGGAAGGAAACTGTAACCCTCCCTATAGAATACCATATCATCTTATATTCCTGGGATACATAAAATGGCAATAGATGCAAAAGTCCCACCCATCATACTGAGGAAGATTGTTGAAAGCTTGGCGTGAGAAGGCACAAAGGTCTGGTGATTTTCTCTTACAGGATCATTCTGGTCTCTCTTCTCCTGCTGTGACTGAAAGACCACAGCCTGGCGGCATGCTTGGTTCCCTGCCTTTCATTTACTTTGGTGATTGTCCTTGACTTCCATCCATGCTTTCAGTCTTGAAATTCTCCAGTTAAACTATACATAGAACAGCCTCTTTATGAGTTAGATGTGCCAAATAAAAGATTTATTATTTTACTTCAGTATTGAGGCATTTCTGTCTCATCAGTAGTATCCTTTATCCTTCATTCATAGCTGTAAAAGATATAAATTTCTACTCTACTCAAATATGTTATTTTGTGGCATTTAAAATATTTATGCTATTTAAAATGTATTGTGATATATGGTGGAAATGATGGTCTAATCCAATGTTTATAAAACCACCTTTTTTTTTTTTACCAGGTAAAGTCTGTCTGTCTGTCTCTGTCTCTGTCTCTCTGTCTGTCTCTCTTTCAATAGTTGGTGTATTTAGTTTTATTGAACCATAGACTTTTGGATCCAATTTTTCTAGCTTTTATTTATATAGCCCAAGCAAAGGAGTCACAAAAAGTACTGAGCAATAAGGGGTTGGGGGTGACTGAAATTACCAAATATCTCAAGAAGAAAAACACTCATTAAAGAAATGGGGCATAAACAGATAAATAGTGAGAGAGTAAACCATATATATATATATATATATATATATATATGTACGTATGTATGTATGCATGTACGCATGTGCATGTATATGTGTATGTATGCATATGTATATACATTATATATGTGTATATATATATAATTGTTCTATACATGCTTCTATTTAGCAATTCTTTCTCTGGATACAGATAGTATCTTTCTTCGTATGACCTTTATAGTTAATTTGGGTATTTATAATAGTCAAAATAACTTATTCACTCAAAGTTGTTCTTAAAACAATATTGCTGTTATTGCATACAATGTTCTCTTGGTTCTGCTCATTTCACTCTTCATTATTTGTGCAAGTCTTTCCATGCTTTTCTAAAATCATTGAGCTCTTAATTTCTTATAGCACAGCAGTATTCCATCACAATCATATACCACAACTTGTTCAGCCATTCCCCAAGTGATGGGCATCCCTGCAATTTCCAGTTTTTTGTGACCACAAAGAGAATTGCTATAAGCATTTTAGGACATATAGGTTCCTTTCCTTTTTCCCTAATTTGGAAATAGACCAAGTAGTGGTATTGGTGAGTCACAGGGTAGTTTAATAACTCTTTGGACGCAATTCCAGATTGCTCTCCAAAATGGTTGGATCAGTTCACAATTCCACCAATAATGAATTTGTATCCTAATTTTCCCACATTCCCTTC